TGATCTAGAAGACTTTAGAAACACTGAAAGTAAATGAGGAAAACACTACTATATAACTTTTGTAGATGATTACTTGAGATACACAAAGGTTTATCTCCTTAGAACTAAAAACGAGGCTGAAAACTTATTTCTTATTTATAAGGTAGAAATTAATAATCAGTTTCATAGGAGAATCAAACGTCTTAGATTTGATAGAGGTGGTGAATACATATCAAATTTCTTAAAAGAGATGTGTGAGAAAAATGACATAATTCACGAAACTTTAGCCCCTTAGTTTCCTCAACAAAATGATATAGACAAAAGGAAAAATAGAACTTTAAAAGAGATGATGAAATCATTGTTGATAAGTTTTGGATTATCTGATAACATGTGAGGGGATGTCATTCTATCGATAAATCATATCTTGAATCGAATACATCATAAGAAGTTAGATTCAACTTATATGATTTGTGGAAAGGATACACTCAAAATCTATAATACCTGAAAGTGTGGGGGTGTATGGATAAAGTGGGATTGTCGGGTTTTAATAAGTCTAACGTATGATCTAAAACCGTTGATGCATTGTTCATATGGTATGCTACAAACAACGCCACATTTAGATTCATGCTTCTACAAGACTATTCTATTTGTGAGTCGAGAGATGTCATTTTCTTCGAAGATTCTTTTCCCTTAAAGAAACCTATATTGAATGATAAAACAGAAATAGAAAACATTACATCCACTTCTTCTAGTGTACCTGCTAGGTCTACTCAAGAAATTGAATTCGAACCTAGAAGAAGTAAAAGACAATGAATTGAAACATCTTTTGGACCAGATTTTATAACTTCCTTTATTTCTGAGATAAATGATTTAGACTCTCTTTCTGATCCTATAGCTTAAATATTTCTGTTAGATGAGGATCCTAAGACTTATGAGGAAGCTATACGATTTATCAATGCTAGTTTCTGGAAAAGCTCTATTAATGATTAACTGAAATCGATAATGTCTAATCATACTTGGGAATTGGTCAACTTGCCTAGGGGATTTAGAACTATCAACAACAAATGGATCTTCCGGAAGAAATTGAGGTCATATGGTTCTATTTAGAGGTACAAAACAAGACTAGTTGTCAAATGATTTATTTAAAAATTTGGTATAGACTTTTTCGATACCTACTCTCCCGTAACGGAAATCTCAACGATCCGGGCATTATATGCTTTAGCCTCTATTCACAATTTGCAAGTACATCAAATGGATGTAAAGATTGCATTTCAGAATGAAAACTTAGATGAGGAGATCTATATGGAACAACCTCTTGGTTTCGAGGCGTTTAGTATGGAAGACAAAGTATGCAAACTTAAAAAGTCGCTTTATGGCCTCAAGCAAACTCCTAAACAGTTAAATAGTGGTATGAGAAATTTCACAGAACTATTCATAGTTTTGGTTTTGTTGTGAATGGTTTGGATGCATGCGTGTATTCGAGGATGTTTAGTGTTGATTGCATCATCATAAGTTTATATGCTGATGACATGTTGATTTTCAATAACAACATTGAGTCCATTAACAAAACAAAAGATTTCTTGTCCACTAAGTTTGAGATTACAGATTTGGGAGAAGTCAATGTAATCTTAGGAGTCAAAGTTACCAAAACTGAAAAGAGATTTTCTTTGAGTCAAGCACACTATATTGAAAAAGTGTTGAAGAAATTCGACAGTTTTGATGTCGTCCCGGTTCGAACTCCTTATGACCCTAGCATACATCTCTTTAAGAATAAAGGAAGTAGTGTTTCTCAAACTGAATATGCTAAAGTGATCGGGAGCCTAATGTTCTTAATGAACTATCATAGGCCCGATATTGCTTATGTTATGAGCAGACTTAGTAGATATACCCATAATTCAAGTAATGAGGATTGGTTTGCTCTCAAACGCTTACTCAAGTATCTTAAGGGTACAATGGATTGGAAACTTGAGTTTGTTGGCTATCCTGCAGTACTGGAAGGATATTGTGATGCCAACTGGATTTCTAACAATGATGAGGTAAGCTCTACGAGAGGGTATGATTTTACTTTGGGTAGAGCAACAATATCGTGGAAATCTGTGAAACAAACTTGTATTACCCATTCCACTATGGAGTCAGAGTTTATAGCTCTTGACTTAGCTAGGCAAGAAGCCGAGTGGCTCAGAAATTTATTAGCTGAAATTTCGTTGTGGGGAAGACGAACTCCTCTTGTTTCCTTATTATGTGATTTGTAAGCTGCGATATGTGTGGTGAAGAACCAAGCTTAGAATGGTAAAAAAAGACACATTCGCGTAAGGCATGAATTTGTTAGACAATTGATAAGGAATGAAGTACTCTTCTTAGAGTATGTGAAGTAGGAAATGAACCTAGTAGATCCGTTTACCAAAGGGTTAAGATGAAAACTGGTACTAGATTCATCAAGGAGGATGGGTCTAAAGCTCATTTGTTGAGGAATTTGTGGTGGATACCCAACTTAGTTATCTAAGTTTAATGTGGTCAAACAAAACCATGAGAAGACTCATAGTGTACATTTATTAATCTATCCCTATGACGAATAATGTACATGCCCAGGTTGAGCTTAATTGCTCTTAATAAATTCATAGTCCAAGCTTTCGGTGGTCTTAGTGAGAAAGACTTGATAAATTTACTGATTTTGGTTTAATATCTATTCTTAATAAGTTCATAACCTAGAGTTGAGTGGGTAGTCCTAATTGATAATGACAAGATGATCTTACCGCTAAAAAAGGTTGAATTTTATGAAAAACTCTTAATGAATTCAAATCCAAAGTTTGGATGGTCATAGTGAGAATGACATATTGAATTCATTGATTAAAGAGGTTGAATATTTATTCTTAATGACTTCTTATCCCAAAGTTTGGGTGGTTCATTTATAATGAACTTGAAGAAAGTAACTATACCCTCTGTGAGGTTGAGCTGTTGTTTAAGCTCTTAATTATTTCATAGTCCTGTTAAGGATGATTTATGCCGAGATAAACATGATGAAATAACCTACGTAAATAAGAAGGATTAGCCACCTTCTATGAAAAACGTTGGCCATTTTTCTAGCACGCTTACTAGAATCCTGAGGTAAGATGATCAAATATATATTTTTGTATATATATTATCTTACAAATGAAAAAATATGAAAGAATTTTTATGGTATATATACACCTTTCCCCTATTTTTATATGAAAATTTATCTAACTTTTAGGTAGTAAAAATTTTGAATTCCCAGACTTAACACATCGACATATGCTTATGAAAATATTATACTAATTATTTTAATTTTTTTTAAAAATATTAAATAATTTTTATTATTTTAAAATCAAATAATTTACAAATCTTCAATATTTGGTTTTAGTTCTGTTTTAACCATAAATATTATAAACAATAGACTTAAATATACAAAAGGTGTCCAACCTATGTCCATTTTTTCAGTTTAATGCTTAATGCTTATTTTGTTCCAGTTTGTAAATTCAAATAATTTACAAATCTTCAGTATTTGGTTTTAGTTTTAGTTTTGTTCTAACCATAAATATTATAAACATTATGTTTAAGTATACAAAAGGTGCCCAATATATGTCAAATTTTATAGTTTAGTACCTAACGTTTATTTTATTTCAGTTCGGTGCCTAACGTTTCATTCCATTACATAAAATGGGTCAAATTATAACGAAGTATTAAATTTGGTCATTAAGTGACATGTGTCACAACCTTGTAGTTTTAAAAAAATTATTTAAAATTTAAATTTTAAAATATATATATATATATATATATATATATATATATATATATATATATATATATATATATATATATTAAAAACACAAATTTTGAAATAAACCAAAACTTTAAAAACCTTCATTTCAATCCCTAAACCCACGTCGACTGTCGCCTTTTGCCATCGATGAAGCTCCACCCGACCTCTCCCCCCTTAACGACTAAAATTCCCATGAAGTCGTGACCAATCGACAGTTGTTCGGCCTTCGAAATCACGTGGGATCGCGATTATCATCCTAGGGTTTGCGGGGTATAAAATGTTAATTTATCGTCGATCGGTCACGATTTTATGGGGGTTTTGGTTGTCGAGGGGAGGGGAGGCGGGTTGAGCTTCGTCGAAGGTAAAAGGCGGCAGCCAGAGTGGGTTTGGGGTTGAAATGAAGGTTTTTAAAGTTTGAGTTTATTTCAAAATTTGTGTTTTCTTTATATATATATATATATATAATTTTAATTTTTAATTTTAAATAAAAATTTTAAAATTACAGATTGTGACACGTATCACTTAACGTGAAAATTAACGCAATTGATGGCTCAGGAACCTAAATGAGTAACAAAATAAAACGTTAGACACCAAACTGAATCGAAAAAAATATTAGACACTAAATTAAAAAAATATAGATTAAATATATTTTGTATATTTAACCCTAAACATTATGTTACTTACAAAAGAGGTGAGCGAGTAAACGACGATATCCACCGAATCAATAAAATTGTACGGACAGATTGGGGACCCCACCGAGGATTTGAAAGAATGGAGACATTCTTTCTATAAAAAAGGGATTAGTTTGAATTTAGCCATTTTGGCGTTTCTTCCGTTTCATCCCTTTTTTCTTTTCTTACATTCATCTCCCGATAGTCTCGCTGTTCCCTTCGATTCAACGAAGCAGATTTTGGATCATTCCTGCTATAAACCCCTTCCCTCTTCTTTCAGAATCAGGGTTTATCTCATTCATTCATTCATTCAATTCCTTTTCTTTTCCTTGTTTCCTAGTTTGCTTCCCTGGCCAAATTCAATGGAAATTTGAAACTTTCCACACATTTCTCTCTCAATTTCGGGGAAAAGTGCGGGACACATACATAGAGAGAGAGAGAGAGAGAGAGAGAGAGTGGTTTCGCAATTTCACGACGATTTCTTCTTTGTTGATTAATTGGGAAACAAACGAATCAATGCTCTCCTACTTTTAAAGGAAATAGACACTGAAAAAGAAATAGATCAGGTAATATAAGATTGCACGAAACAAAGGAAAGGAATGTTTGAATTTGTGTGTATTCCTTTTATTTATTTATTCTTTGGCTATTAATTTTCGGTGCTTTTAAGTGCAGTGGTCTTGCAGAGAAAATTTGTGTGAAACCAAAAGAAAGAAAGAAGAAATGCTTAATGGAATCGGTCAAGTAATGGAGGAGGAATTTTACTCCATCGAAGAATCGTTTGATGATGGGCAATGTTTCGATCTTGATTACGAGTTTGATGCACCTCGATGCTTTGATTTCAGTAGCCCAGAAACTGATTGGGAGGCTGAAGAAGCAGAGCTCTGGTTCGATTCAGCTGAAAGCTATGCGCCTTCGCGTAAGCCTTTTTCCCGTGTTTGTTTATAATTTAATCATTATGCTTTCAGGCACAACCTTTTTATTGTCAATTCTTCTGATGATCTTATAATATATTTTATTTTTCAGCTTTTGTAATAAAGTTGAAATGGAGATGTGATATAAATGGGGATGGAGAATTTAGCAATGGTTCAACAGAATGTGATGAATACAGTGGAGGTATATTCTTGTCTTCATTTTTTTAATTAGCTTGTTAGTTTATAATTAGTGCTTTTCTTTGTAACTTTTGTTTGATTTAGCTGAATCAATGGGTTGAGATGAATATGGTTTCTTTTTGAAAAAGAGTTTTTTTATTAATCAGCAAAAAAAAAAGACTTTTTTAATGATAAAAAAAGAGCCTAGAAATTCAAAGTACTAATGTTCTCCCCCCCCCCCCTTTATTTGTGGATCAGAAGCATGTAATGGGTGTTGCGGAGGTACTCAGGTGGCTAAAACTGATAGTCCGGCCAAGGCATCTCCATCAAAGAGTTCAACGTTGATGCAACCTACAGCAAGTTACTTGGCGAAGCAAAACCAATCTCGAACTGGTCTTTCCAATCAATTTCAAAATAGGTGTTACTCTATTGTTGTCGGATACCATTATACACTGACACTTGCAGTTGAATTCTGTTTTAATATGATTTTTCCCCAAATGCAAGGGTTAATTCTCTATTGGAGTCGTGATAAATTTAAAGGCTTTTACTTGTTGGTTCCTTTATTACACAGGTTACACAAGTCTGCTGACAGATTCAATAAGAGTGTTTCCTTCAATGAAGATGCTACCAAAAGACAAAAGCTGGAATTTGGTTACTTACGCAAGGTGCTGTCACTTATGTTTATCTGATATTAGTCTGGGCCTTGTTTTCCTGTATTGCGGTTAAATGGTCTCTGTGATTATGGAACCAGATCAATCATTATTATTTGCATGTGTTAATGTCTCAGCTTACCTCCTATAATATTTCATGTGATGCTGAAAATTGAAATAATCTGACTGGTCAGATTTTAAGTGACAGATTCCGGGAAAGCAATATACTCCATGAATATGTTACGTCCAAGAGTATTTTTTAACCCAAACTGTAATTTGGCTTATGATATTGTTATCCACCTCCTCCTACTTCTTAGTTGTATGTATCACGCCATACAGTCGTGTTCCTGCTTTGGTTTTTTGTTTGTTGTTACGTGTTACTTCACTGTTATTTTTTGGTTTTATTTGAAACTGCATATACAGATCAAATTTTTTTGCTAAACGTTGAATTTTGTACTAAGAAGATGTTCGATGATTCTAATTTTTGTAAAGCAGGTTGCCCATTTGAAGCATCAATCTAAGTTTGAGCACAAGGAACCAAAAACAGTAAGTTTTAGAAGTATGACAGTGTTTTATGTTAGACTAATATCATATTATTTTTCTTTTGTTGCAAACTAATCATGGCTTATTCAAACATGCCATCACCATGTGTGTCTTTGGAGGGACAATATATCTGCAATAACAGTTAACAACTTAACATTATCGGCATTGTCAATTTTGTAAAAACTGAGTTTGTTTTCCAGGTCAGATCCCTTGATGGTGTTCCCAGTAAACCTAAAGCCACAATTCCAAGAGAACCAGAGCTACAAACAGCAAGAAGGGCTCAGAGAAACATGTGCAATTGATTTCCTATCGTTTTTTGCTGTCATTTGTCTCAAGATTATGTTTTTGCACTTTGCTTAAAAACTGATAGCGAAACAGTGTCAATTTCAGGTCTAAGAATAAGGAAGAGTCAGATGAAAGTGCAAAATCAAAAGTTCATTCGTTTAAAGCACTCCCCTTAAACAAAAAGGTTAATACTTTTAGATCTTGAAAACTAATGTTACTTGAATTTTTTGACGCAATTTTTTAGAGAAGTTTCAAGTATCTTTGCTCTTGAATGTGTAATCTCGATATTTTCTTTGGACTTGATAGATTCTTGAGGCTCCTTCACTGCCCCTTCCCAAGAAAAGCCTGCCCCAGCCGCCAGAGTTTCAGGTATTGATTACCACGCGAACTTTCTAGTTTGTATCCTCTTATGATTGCCTTTTTTGTCATTGTCTTGAGAAATATCCTGCATGACCCTGTACTGGATTATTTCATTGCTTTTAGGTGTTTCATTTGAGGACATCTGAGAGAGCCAAGCAGCATGCATATAATAATGTGGGTTATTTAAAATTTTATTTATATTACAGCTCTTGTATTGTTTTTAAGATTTCTCTTAAGTTTTAACCATATTTGGATTCTACAACTTGTCATTACCTTTTCAGTTATTGGGATTCAAGAGTTAATAATATCCTCTTTGCAGGCAATGAAAGTATCTATGCACGTGTCAACGTCAAGAAATGAAAACGCCCGCCTCAGAAGGTAATGGCACTTTGGCGTTTAGCTTCACTCAGTTTTTCTTTTTCTTTCGCATTCCTCCCAGCTCTTGATGTTCTTTTCCTTTGTTTACATAGCTTCAATTCTATCAATTCACTAAAGGAGGAGAAACATGAAGCTATTAAGAAATCTAAAGCTTGTGCTCCAAATAAGAAGGTTGCTTTGGTATACCGATTCTTCCTTGTTCTACAGATATTTTATTAAAAAAATATTGCATGCAGAATCATTTTGTTGGCTTTTCAGGTAAGTTCTGGTAAAGGTGCAAATGGTGTCCTCCAGAATATGAACCAAGCAACAGCCACAACGAGGCTTCCAGATGAACTACCAATAGAACTACTCAATAAGGTATTAGATCTTTTACCGAACTTTATTCGGCAACAACCTTTAGCCTGAAATGAACCTCCTAAAATGTATTTGGAATAATTCACTCCTTAATCATCCTTAGAGAAAATTCTCAATCTTCTCTTGTTTTGGGCTTGATAATACTTCGCTGTTCACTTGCATGTATATCCAGCTCTCGCTGTCATCCGAACGCCATTCTGGTGAGAAGTCTCAAGAAATAATGGCTATATCTGAGGTTGGTTCCCTAGATTTTTATTTTTTTATTTTTCTGAACCTAAAGCATATCTATAAATTGTTTTCTTATTAAGTTCTTCCACTTGTTGAATTAAGGGATTGAAAGAGAATGAGCCAGGTACTTTACTTCTGCAGCGTCAGGTACATTGAATGATGTTTATATGCACCCACTAGATCACAGAATTGAAGTAATTTGACACATCTTCCTTCTGATCCTGCCTTCACATTGAATATAAAATGTGCAATTTGTAGATCATGAAAGTGGCCAAGGAACTTTTGCAAAGGAATGGGAGGATGCAGTACCCATGTAGAAGGGTAAACAATATTGAAATTGGGCGACAAGAGAACATTAGTAGGTAAAGCCTATTTTACCCTGTCGAATTTGAGATGCTCGTTCCCCCATACTTTTATCAGTAACTTTGATCTATTAATTTTCCTCCTTTTCTCCTTTTATCTGAGATTATTGGCAGTGTTAGTTAAATTTATGCCAGATGATCTAATTTAGCTTTATGGATCAAGAATTAAACACAAACTAGCCTGTTGCCAAAAAAAAAAGTTCTGTTTCGAGTTTTAGAATTCTCGTACAAACCGAAACTACCTCGTATAGATTCAGGCGTAACTGGAAACAACATAAAAAATCTTGACTAGTCAAAGAAATGGCTTTCTTATGGTTTTGGGGTTGAGTGTTTGAAATGAACATGATATTCTTGAGTTAGGCCATTAGATTTATGGTTGAGATACATCTATTTCAGCTATTATTTTTGTCCACTGCATATCTTTGAGAAGTTTCTCCATATAGAGGATAAACGAACGTCAGAACCTTCTCATCTTCATGTAATTGGCTGTCACAGGAGATTGAGATTGGATGTAGTTTGAAGTCCCTCGCTGGTTTCGGTCGTCACGCTTCAAAAGCGGGCAAACGTCAAGCAAGTTATTGTTGACAACAGTGGATACCTGTTTCTAAATAATTGAATGATGTTTATTCCTTGGGAAGAAAAGGAAAATATAAGAAAAGAAAATTGAGTGATATTTATTCCTTGAAAAGAAAAGAAATGCTTTTGAGAAGATAGCAGCCCCACCATTTGTTTTTAGCCTTTGTCATGTTTTCCAGGAAATGAGAAGTGCACCATGGAAGCTTAGGTGTTAAATTTGAGCAAACTGGTCAAGCTGATCTGATCCTAACTTCTGGATAAGTTCTTTAGACGCTATCAAAGTTTGAACTTGATTAAGCCATTATCCTTCTGTCTGGGAATTAATTTTATATATAAAAAAAGGTCAAAAAGATCATCAAAACCAAATAAATTAAATTAATTTTATAATAAAAACTGAACTAATTGAATAGAAATTGTAATGACTGAACAATTAAAATATTATTACATACATTTGCTTCATTGTTAAAGTTAAATAAACATATAAGGTAATTTAATATAATAATTATTATTATTAGTCTCTAAAACTTATACATTTTATCTATTTGATTTTAATTTAAAATAATTTAACCCGTCATATTTAATATATCATATTTTTACGATACTATCTAATCAAGCGAGTCCATCAAATCAAAGTAATAATTAGATAACAATATTCTACCATGAAGCAGGAATAAATTGTTGGTAAATTGTTATTACATCATAAAAATAGCTCTAATATAATGTTTTAAATTTAAATAGTTAAATCTATTAGATTATTTTAAATAAAAATTAAAACGATAACTATAAATTTTAAGGACAAGTTATATTATATCAATTTATCATTTCTTTTTAATATTTAATAGTTGTTCGTCATAATATTTTAATTAATTAAATTATATTTTTAAAAAAATAAATAATATATATATAACCAAACTAGTAATTGACTTGGATACATTTCACCTAATGTTTTTATTCCCAATCAAAGTATGTGGGATAACATTATCTTGGGATCTGAATTGATTTAGACCATCAAGAAGAAAAATTGAATGTTCATGGCCTATGGTACATTCAGCTTGGAATTTCTTATCAAGGATATGGTTTTCAATGATAAATGGCTTCAACGAGTTCGACAATGTATCAGCACAATTTCCTATCAAAGTTGATAATTACACACGTGCTAATTGAAAAAGGGTATTTGGTTCTCGTTGCTTTCCCTATATAAGGCCATTCAACAAGCATAAGCTTGACTCTCTGTCATGACCCCATGTATTTTCCATTTGTTGACTAAAATCACTACATCTAGAGAATTTGCGTCTGACGAAGTTCTTGTTAAGGTCGAGACAAGGACTGATATTCCAACTGATCGTCTCACACGGCACAAACGTAGGTAGTTCTGTTAATTTTTTAAAAACGGAAGATCAAGTTAAAATCAAAATGTAACATCAATGATGATTTTGAAAAGAAGAAATAATTGGGTGATCAAAGTGGAATTAAAGTGATAAATGTATGACTAAATGCATAGTTAAACCAAAACAATAATGTAAATCAGAGTTTGGCTCATCATTTCCTTTTAACGTTGTTATTGCAATTTCGTTTTTCCCTCGAGACAAAACCTACTGCACCGTTCGTTGCCTACATCAGTGGTCGCCGATGACGCTGTTAACGGGAATATGGCGTATTTTAAACAGAGATGATGTCCGATGGTTTAGTCCAACATGATTCTTAAAGTATCGGTTTCAGCAAAATAGCTTGGGGCCCAACATTCGATGGAATGTTTTCAACTAAAACAGCCTATAAATTAGCACTACGCCAACAACAAGCGGAACAAGCTCCGGGATGTTATAGCAAATGGAAATGGACAAGGTTTTACCTGTGAAATCTGAACTGGCCGAAACGAGGAATCCTCACTAGTGCACAACATGTAAAGTTAAAATTTCTCAACCCTTTGCAAGCTCTTTGAATTTCAGGTGGTGGACATGAACAATCCAATTCAAATTTCAAATACCATGTTCGTATAAAACAATTAACAGACGTCTCAAATGTTTTAGCTGCAAGATGAGTGCAAGAAGAATACTTCCACCACATAGACGATGCATATCCTAGATTACAGTTGCGGTAAATAATCGGAAAGTGACTTCAAAAAAAGAACAAAAAAGATAAAAGAAACCTCTTTAAGATGACGAACTTTATCCTCCTCATGGAGTCATGCTTATGGCCTAAGGCATTGGATCAGCATTGTGCCACCCATTATTGCATGGTGGAATGGTCATAAACTCGTCAAATTCCTGAACATATATGTCGCAGCACTTCCACTGTAGAGAGATTAGAATGAGTGATGGATGGTAAGAATAGAAAAACAGGCTAACAATATTTAAAATATTGTAATAAATGGCAACATTTCATCATAAAGAAGGATTATATAGCATACCCCTCTCACTCGGTCATGGAAAACAGCAGGTCCAGGATGGTAACTACATGCAGTCTCATGGTTATCTATTTGTTTGAAAACTTTACCACATCCTTTATTTTTGCATGTCTGAGGCTGGTTTATATCAACTATCTTCTTGGGTGGAGGAGGAGACTCCTCAACATCAGCACTGCAGTTAGCCGGTGCAGCTGGGGTGGGGTTCGGTGCTTTGGGCTGTGAACCTACAACGTACACAACTTCAGCTCTATATATGATAGTATAGCAACATAATTTCTCTACTGTAAGGAATACTTGATGATTTCAAATTCTATGATACAGACAATATTTGGATATTACACTTGGCGCTTGCAAAATATAAACCTCAAAACTTAGGCTAAAGTTCCTAAGCAGTCAGTGTACTATAGTAAAAGTACAATTTAATCTACATAATATAAAACTGAGTAATTTCATCATCATATGGTGCATACAAGTAAAATTGATAACAGCAATTGTGAAAAACCATCTAAATATTGAGTTGTCTCTATTGTCAGATTCCAATTCATGCTTCGTCAGATTTTAGAAATCCACATCATCATGTAGACGGTGTTTCCATCAAAATCAAAATCAGTTTTACTTGTTTGCACCAATACCAAATCTACAAGGACTACAGTATTCAGTACAGACCGCCTAAATACTTTAACCCAAAACTGAAGAGCTCAGAAACGAACCATTAATCAAATCCAGTTTTCTGAATACTTCAACTTCTAAGATACACAAAATACTCTTGATATTATTGAGTGCAAAATGTAAACCTCAAAAGTGAACAACATAACCCAGTAAGAGTTTTTGCTTTTCTTGGAAACCAATCATTAATAATAACCAGGTTTCTGAAAGAAACCATGGTCCAGAACAAAGACTGCAATAATTTTCCTTTTTTGGTAAGTACTATTTTGTTTAACACAAAAAATGTTGGAAGATAATCATAAAATTGAAAGAGAAACTAAGATATTAAATTTAATGAGAACCAAAAGACGTGCCAATTTCTCAAGACAAAAATGGCATGCAGCAGATAAGGAACGATGATGCACGGGATTTTATTTTTGGAGGATTGATGCACTTAAAATTTCAACTCACTTGAGGCATGATGTAAAAAATGCATTGACCAAAGGAAAGGAATACCTATAAAACAATATTTTTAAGCTTTCCATCGCTAAGATTACAAAGTGCAATTGTGCCCTATTTAAGATGATATTCATTGTAAGAGACCTAAGTAGCATTTTCTCTTTTTTAGGTTTTTTAATATGCTAAACATGACTTTTTATGGTCTAGAAAAACGGCATGAGAAAGTACTATGATCATACCATGGTCAGAGCAAAAGAAACCCTGAGAGCACCTAGCACAAGATTCTTTTGATGTTGCACTGGTGGAAAGAGTAACAACAGGACTAGGAGTTCGAATTGTCTTAGTAGCAGCTAGCTTAATCGACACTGGCTTCTCCGTTGTGTGCTTACCTGTCTTACATCTGCACTAAAAAACATTACATTGACTAGATGCAAATGAACGATTAGATTTATCAAGCAGTGAATTTTTTTCTCCATAGAGGATCCCAAGCATTCAATCCTTCTCTATATTGCCTACTCAGAAAAACAGCAAAAATCATAGTACAAGACCTAAAAGAATTAAGAGAGGTACTTACCCGGGAATTTCTAGGAATAAGCTGAAATCATGACTTCTTTTTTTGCAACAGCTCCACTTTTTCATTCCATCATGAAATATAGGCTGAAAAAGGAAGTTAAGTTTGCAGTATCAGCTAAAACTGATGGTACAAAAGATATTTTCAAAAGAATAAAAATTGTTTATTGTAACAAATTTATATTTACACCCTGTTCGCATAAATTCACCCATGCAGAGGAACCAAGCCAACATGTAAGACAGCAAAAAAAATAAAATAATAATATTAATAATAATAATAATAATAATAATAATAATAATAATAATAATCAGAATGATTCACTAGATGTAGTAACATTCCAAAACTCATATTTAACCATGACAGTTACAGCAAAGTCATTCTTGTACAAGCTGAAAATATCACCGCCGAAAACATGTCAAATTTTATAAAACAAGCTGCAGAAATCCACAATATATTGCTTAAGGTGCAAGGGAGGGAGGTATAACACAAATTTGTACAATTTATAACCGGAACACAGAAAGCCTCATTATTTTAATTATAAGAGGAAATGAGGAGGAAAAGAAAAAATTAATTTAACCAAATCTAGGGTTAACTGCAGCTTCTTTATGAATACATTAACTTCAAAATGTGAATATAATAGATGCTATAACTACTCATATTGCAAGAGTAAACCATGCAAGCAAAAACAAAAATCTAATGCTAGAATAATAATAAAGCGACCATGAACTTTATGCCTTCGTTTTGATAACACCCAAATCATCACTTCCTATTTACACCTAAATAAACCATTAACCCAAATCAAATTATTTGAATAAAAGCTAATTTGGGTACAAATCAAAGCATACTAAAGGCCTGCTTAAGAAAATAGGTAAGTAGGTTAGGATTTCTTTAGTATTTTAAAACCAAAATATTAACTGGCAGTCTGACATCTCAATTAACCGGTCAATAAGACATGTTATTTTGATTAAAACGATGTAACCCAGTGAAATTACAAACTCAATCATAGACTATGGGGAAAAAAGGTGTAATATAGATTAAAAATGGGAAATTGAAGGAGGTGGATACCGAATCGTGGAAAGAGCAGGAACCCTCGGGATTATCGTCTTCCGTGAACGTAGCGTTGCAGCCGATTCGCTGACACCGTAGCTTAACAGCTTGCTCCGCCATTAATAGCACTTTCGAAAAATGCTGTCGTCTTGCCGATTAATTTTCCTTGTGATCTTCACCCCTGTTTTACAAGTCGGTTGACTTAGACGACGGCGAGGAATTGGAGGGGAATCACCATTTCTTCAAGTTTCACGGGGTGCTATACTACTTGTGCGGTTGTGCCGGGTTGGGGACGCTGCTTCCCTTTTTTCCTTTCTTCTTCCTAGGATACCACGTGGAAACATCATGACGGTTTATCACCGAATACCTTTTTTCTTTTTAGAAATCAAATTAAAATATCACTATATTACATTAAAAATAATTTTTATAATTAATTTTCTAAAATTACAGAATATGTATTAAAATTTTAATGTTCATATAAATAAATATAATTCTTTTAATTATAATTAATAAAATGATAACGCAGTTGCTCAAATTTACAACTTACACCACTTTGATACAAGGATTAGAATTTACAAGAGACAAAGCCATACATACCATACACACAAAAATAACGAAGAATATAAGAATGTATTATGCACACCAGATGACTACTCTGACAGTGTCATAAGATCCTAACACTTCCAGATGACTGAGTTGTAAACTGCAGCAACACGAAATGTCACAATAATCTCTTGTGTACTTCCTCCATGGAAACTTTCTCCTGCGAAATCAAGAGTCGTTTAAACAAACAATATTTGATGATCCATCCATCCATGTATCCAAATCTCTGTAATGTATTACAAAATCCAATAATGGAGAAGAGATCAGATCAGATCAGATAGAGAGAGAGACCTCATTGTTTTGGGCTGCTCTCTGAGGGAAACCATTGCAAAAGAACACCCAAGTTCATCACGAAAGGTATCGATTTGAATAAAATGGGACTTGTTACCTGCACAATATCATGATTTGTAATCGTTGCTGCTGTTGGTTTTGCAGCCAAGACGATAAAGAAAAGAACAATGTGAAGTTTCAAAATGTGGTTTTTGCAGCGGAGATAGTTACCAGACTAAGAGCTGTTGTTCCAAGGAGAAGCAGATACATCTTACCTTTCAGCATCAGCAAAATTCAAGTCAATAGTTGCTACACAACATTTGCAATAATACTGAAATTAAGGCATATTAGAGTTTGATTCGAATTCGATCTGACTCGAATTGATTGGGGACAATAGGAAACGTATTTTATGCTGATCGAGAGCAGAAAACATAGTTAGAGTAGATTTCTTGCTATGCAAGTACCGTAATCAAGTTTCTTGCTAAAAAAAACACCATATCCTTAAAATTTGTTGTTGACTAATGACATACAAAAATGCAACCAGGAATATATTTATGGAGCGAGAATGAGATTAGGTACCTCAACAAGGTGAAGATTTGAGGCACGACTTAGAAGAACAAAAGCAAATTCTCCAACTTGAGCAAGCAACACTCCGATCTATATCATGTACGTGCAAATTACAAATGATGCTGAAATTGTGTGATGAAATTAGATGTTCCCTGTGCATTTAAGAGACGACCTTACATGGAAAGATGTCCTGACATCATATTCGAAACACTTGGCGACCACAGTAGCAACAGCTGTCTTGACAACAATAACTAGAGTAACAGCAACCAGTAATACATCCACATGGTTCCACAGGAAATGTACGTGTACGAGCATCCCGATACCAGAAATGAAGAGAGCTGCAAATAGATTGTGAATTGGTTCCACCTATAGATTGCACAAAGCAACAAATCCAGAAAAGGTTTTGATTTCATCATTCCCATGAGAATAGAAATATGAATTATGAAAGAGTGAATGTTGCATAAACAAAGAAATACAGCCACTTGAGCCTTTTAGCTTATTTGTAGACTCACTCTCCTCTAACAGACTGCATACCGTGTCCAATGTCTAATACGAAACATGAACACTAGCATAAATTCAAACATGAATGTAGCATCAATCTCCTTGAGTTAAATACGATATAGACCATCTGCATTTATAGATATTCACTCATGTCCTTACGTACTGAAAATGGAAGATCGAGAACACTTAAAATACGAAAAGTAAAGAGGCTAAGCCTTAAAAAAATTTAAGACGAGACTAATTGGAGAGTGATTACCTGGTTTAAAGTATGCTGCGCAAAATCAGTAGTAGATATCATTACTCCAGCTACAAATGAACTCAACTCAAGGCTGAGACCCAGATTATCACTGCACTGTGAAGATTAAAGAAGTTCAAGAGCGTTAAAAGGGTGATGGGGAAATTTTGCATGCAGTAATACAGCAGTTCGAATCGTAGCTAGCAGATTGCTTACCCAAGCAGACAATAAGCAGAAAGCCACAGCAGCAAGCTGATAAAGTTCATTTGTCTGGACGATAATATCAAAATGTACTTATATTTTTAATCACTACCAAGATAAAGTAACAGAACAGGAGAAAATGAATGTTAAAAACTTACTTGAGATGATATCTGCATCATTAGCTTTAGGAAGCGAGGAACAAACGACCAAGACAATACCGATGCAATGGTAAGAAATAAAGATAATACAAGCATCCTGACATTGATCATCAGTAAGTGTTAGATCTCAAATCTACTGCAACAGATCAGAAGCTGTTTCTGAGAGAAATGGAGTAAAAAGGAAGAATCAGGGTAAGAAAAAACAGGACAGGTGATGAAACCAAAAATAAGCTTACAGCTTTCCCACCGAAATCATTCCATGTAGTAGGCCACTGCTACCACCCAAAACCGAGAACAATGCAAATAACAAGCCAACGGCACAATCCTGAAATAGCCAGAGGTGAGGGAACGGATGTATATGCAACCAAAACAATAAATAAAGTCTCTGAATCCAAATTCTAATTAAACTGATGATAGTTTAAATCATTTCTATTTAACCTGAAAAATAAGAGTCCCAATGGTAACTTGACCATGAAGAGCATTAGTGCTATACTGTTCTACTAAAAACTTCACAACCTGATAAAAGGAAAGAATGGATGAGTATTAGATGCATCAAGTAGCAAACAAGAATGAAAGAAAATACTAGTATCCTGGAATGGTATGGGGAAGTACAACTGCAGTTGATGACATCGAGAGGAAGGAGCCAACAAATACACCCTCAGACAAATCTGCTCCACATATCTGCAGGTCAAGAGATGTCTAAGTTTAACATCCATCTAATTGGTGTCTTTATCGGAAGTATAGAAAATGTACTTGAAACACTGTACTACTGAAAATATGCCACACAAGAGCTTGAATGTCATAATTTGAAGTAGTCCTCCAAATACAGCAACTGGCCCCACAACTTTTAACTGCAGCACAAGAATTAGTGGACATAGCTTTACTAAACTAGGATAGACATTTCCAAGCAAGCAAAAAAGTCCGATAAAGAAGAATTCCCAAATGCAGTAGACATCCTACCTTTGCCAAAGAAAACTCCAACCCAAGAGCAAAAAGAAGAAAGATAACACCAAACTGTGCAACAGTTTCAACCTACATAAGGAGAAACGAGAAAGAACTCATCATCAAAATAATAACAATATGAAAGAACATATCCTGATCACAAATTTCTATAGGACAGCATCAATAAAAGAATTTTCAGATAAATAGTTAGACATTATTTGTTGCTACCAGCTGGAAATAAACTCGGGAATGTATCAACAAAGAAAATGATCATCAAAGGCAACATCTTTGGAAGATGGCTCATACAGGCTCCCTCCGAAGGTTCCATCAATGAGTCTATCTCAGTAGTAGACACCAAAGCATGATCAAATACTGACGCATCTGATTTTTGGAAACAACAGTGCCAAGCTATTGGTGGTGCCATACCTGTACCATTTCACTAATGAATTTCAGACCCCCTGGTCCATTAAGTGAACCTGCAAGAAGATAGCCCACAATTGTTGCGGAAGACGGCTATCGGATAGAGCAAAATCGCAACTGATAATTTGAGAAAATAAAAATGAAGATAAAAAAGAGACAAAATTTACGTGGAAAACCCCTAAATAAAATAGGGTAAAAACCACGGGCAACGGTAGAAGAATTTCACTATGAGAAAATAGGAATTACAACCTCTCTCGATCTACCAAGGAGAAAACAATGATAATTCTCTCTCGATAAAAAGGAGAAAACAACTCTCAAGAAACTCTCTAAATTCTCTCTAGTATTGGAAGAAAGCTAGAATGCTTTGAGATGGTTTTGAAGCTAAATGAGCTAGGGTATTTATAGTTGAAACTTAAGGACTAATCTTATAAATACCCTAAAGTTTAGTGACTAAAGTTTATAATTTACCCATTTAATTTTCAAACATTATTGCACCTAATTTTGACATTGTTGCACCTAATTTTGACATTGCAATATTAGGTGCCTAACTTGAACCAATTTTCCAAGCTTTGACATTTCAACAATCTCCCACTTGAAGATTTGATTGGAACAATCATATCTTCACACCATTCTTTCTACCTTGTATCATCATGTTGCTTACGTCTCTGACAGGCCACAAGAGTATCGAAACCAGGTAAATTTATCAGCGTTGATCGCCTTCGTCATGAAATCTGCTATGTTGTCTTTGGTATGGATCTTCTGTATATCTACCGTTCCTTCTTCCACCTTTTCACGAATGAAATGGTACTGAACTCATATGTGCTTAGTCCTTGAATGAAATGCTGGATTCCTTGCTAGATGCAAGGCACTTTGACTGTCACAAAACAAAGAGACATACTCTTGATTGTGCCCAAGCTCCTCCAATAGCATCTTCAACCAAATTGCTTCTTTACTGGCTTGTGTAGCTGCTACATATTCTGCATCTGTTGTGGACGTAGCCACAACTGACTGCAATTTTGAAACCCAGCTTACAGCTCCACCAGCAACTTTGAACACATATCCTGTAGTAGATTTGCTTTTATCCAAATCCCCTGCATAGTCAGAATCTACATACCCATTAATTAGTAAGTTTGATCCTCCGTAACATAATGCAATATTTGAGGTCCCTTTGATGTATCTTAGGATCATCTTTACTGTATTCCAATGCTCTTTGCCTGGATTCGCCATGTACCGACTAACCACTCCCACTGCTTGTGCAATGTCTGGTCTTGTGCATATCATAGCGAACATTAAACTTCCCACTGCTGATGCATACGGTACTCGAGACATCTCCATCCTCTCTTCTTCACTGTTAGGACTCATACTGGAGGATAATTTGAAGTTAATAGGAAGAGGGGTAGAAATTGGCTTACAATCTTGCATGCTAAATCGTGACAAAATTTTCTTCAAGTAATTCTTTTGTGAAAGCCAAATCTTCCTATTACTTCTGTCTCGATGAATTTGCATCCCTAGAATCTTGTTTGCTGATCCCAAGTCCTTCATTTCAAATTCCCTAGCCAGTTGTGCCTTCAATTCTTCAATATGATCTTTGTTGGGTCCTGTAATCAACATGTCATCCACATACAACAGCAATATAACAAAATCGTTATCACCAGACCTCTTGAAATAAGCACAAGGGTCTGCATTAAGTCTGTTGTATCCAAGGCACATAATGAAGGAATCAAATCTCTTATACCAACACCTCGGTGCCTGCTTTAGACCGTACAGAGATTTGTTCAACCTGCAAACCAAGTTCTTCTTTTCGTCTTCTTCAAAACCTTCAGGCTGGAGCATATAAATCTCTTCTTCAAGATTTCCATGAAGAAAAGTTGTTTTAACATCTAGTTGTTCCAGATGTAAATTCAATGTAGCACACATTACCAAGACTACTCGAACTGTTGTTAGTTGAACCACAGGAGAAAAAATTTCATTGAAATCAATACCTTCTTTATGAGCATATCCTTTGACCACCAATCTTGCACGATACCTCTCCACTTGATCGTCACCATTTCGCTTGATTTTGAAAACCCATTTGTTACCAATTGGCTTTCTTCCTTGTGGTAGTGGCACAAGGTCCCATGTATTATTTTTATGAAAGGCTTCAATTTCTTCTTGCATCGCCATCATCCACAGTGAAGCATCTGAGCTGTTTATTGCCTCCTGATATGTTGATGGCTCACCGTCCTCTGTTAAAAGACAGTATGCAACATTTTATTCTATAACATAATCTGAGTGCCAATTGGGACGTCTTCTCACACGATCTGATTGACGAGTTGTTGGAGCTTCAGAACTCTCTGGTTCTTGTTCATCATGTGCTGGTTCTGCTTCAGAAGAATCTCCTTGTTCAAACTCCTTTTCTACATGTATCTGTGTAGTATTTGACTTTTCAGCGCTGTCATTGTCTTCTTTTCTTTGTAGCTTATCTTCTACAAAGATAACATCCCTGCTAATGATCACTTTGCGGGCAGTGGGATCCCACAAGCGATACCCCTTTACTCCATCAGCATACCCCAAGAATTTGCATTTTCTGGATTTTGGATCCAGCTTTGAAATTTCTTGGGCGTTGTACATCACGTACACAATACTTCCAAATACATGGAGGTTTGAATAATCAACTGGTTTACCAGTCCACATCTCCATTGGTGTCTTCAGCTCTATTGTAGTTGATGGAGCTCGATTCACCAAATAACAGGCGGTATTGACTGCTTCAGCCCAGAATGATTTTTCTAGGCCTGCGTCCCTCAACGTTGCTCTTGTTCTTTCTAACAAGGTTCTGTTCATCCGCTCTGCCACTCCATTTTGTTGAGGAGTGTTCGCCACTGTGAACTGTCTTTTATTGCCTTCTTTCCTGAAAAAGTCATCAAATTCTTCGCTTGTGTATTCTCCTCCATTATCTGTTCTGAAACACTTGATCTTATTTCCAGAATCAAGTTCCACCCGCGCTTTGAAGTTTTTGAAAGTTAAAAACACGTCTGACTTCTTCTTAATAGGGTGCACCAAAATCTCCTGGAGTAGTCATCAATAAATGAGACAAAGTATTTTGCTCCACCTAGGGACGTTACTGGTGCTTGCCATACGTCAGAGTGAACCAATTCTAGAACACTTTTGCCTCTAGAATTTGATGTGTTGAATTTCAACCGGTGCTGCTTACTTGTTATGCAATGCTCACACAAAGGAAGTGATACCTTTGTTAAGCCTGGAAGTAGCTTTTGCTCCACAAGGACTTTCATTCCTTGTTCTGACATGTGTCCAAGTTTCTTATGCCATAGCATTGCAGAATCTGAACTACATGAGGCAACAGAGGCTTCTACTTCTAGCAATGTCTCTCCCTTCAGCATGTACAAGTTTGCAGCTATCTTTTCACCTTTCAGCACCACAAGCGCTCCACGGAACACCTTCATGATTCCTTTCTGTGTTTCAATCTTGCTTGCATTATTATCCAACAATCCTTAGGATAATAAATTTTTCTTCAGGCCTTTCACGTGCCGCACATCTCGAACAACTTTAATTGTTCCGTCATACATCTTTAATTTGATGGTTCCCACGCCAACGATCTCTAAGGCATGATCATTGCAACTATAAACAGATCCTCCTAAGACAGGTTCATAATGATGAAACCATTCTCTTCTTGAGGTCATGTGATATGTTGCTCCCGAATCAATGAGCCATATATCTGCAAATCGTTTTCTTCCTTCCACGGTGGTTGACGCTTCACAGTATAGAGCATCTCCATCATCTGAAGTGTTTGCGGTATTGCCTTGTGGATTGGAGTTTTTATTTAGACTCCAACAATCCTTCTTCAAGTGACCCTTCTTTCCACAGTTGTAACACTTTAAATTCTTCTTGCTTCTCGACTTCGATCTACCATGTTTGTGACTGCTGCTTTGGCCACGTTCTGTTGATCTCCCTCTCATCGTTGTCATCGTTGTCAACGCTTCTGCTTGTTGCAGATTTACTTGTCTGACTTCCTTGTTCTTGCGTCGATTTTCTTCTTGTAGAACAACAGCTGCAACGTCATCGAAGACTAGACTGGTGACATTACTGTTTGTCAAGTTGATGATGAGTTGATCATATGAATCCGGTAGACTTTGAAGTAGAAGTTCAACACGTTCTTGTTCTCCTATTTTACAGCTTAAGGATGTAAGCTGAGAAAATAAAGTGTTCAGTGTATTTAAGTGCTCCGTCACTGAAGTAGATTCTGGCATACGGAGAGTGTACAATTTTCTCTTAAGGAAAAATTTATTGTGCAACGATGTGGCCTCGTACAGTTTGGTGAGATGATCCCATATCTCCTTAGCTGTCTTCTTCTCCTTGATACTTGACAATACTTCATCTGTTAATGCTAGATGAAAGTTTGCCATAGCATTTCCATCCATTTCGATCCATTTGTTGTCGTCTGTGAAATCTACTGGCCTTTCGCTGATAGCTGCTAGACAATCGTCTTTCCTCAGGATGGCCTTCATCTTCAATTTCCACAATGAGAAATTTCTCCCATTGAATTTTTCAATATCAAATTTCGTTGCCATAGCTTCTTCTACGGATAGCTCCCACTATTTCACTATCGTGAATAGTTCTCTGGAACCTTCAAAGAATGGGTAATAACTTCTTATTTTCTTATGTTGGAGGATCCACCTTTTGGTGGCAACCACAAAAACAATAAGCAGATATTACACACTCTAATCTAGCTCGGATACCAATTGTTGCGGAAGACGGCTATCGGATAGAGCAAAATCGCAACTGATAATTTGAGAAAATAAAAATGAAGATAAAAAAGAGACACAAAATTTATGTGAAAAATCCCTAAATAAAATAGGGTAAAAACCACGGGCAACGGTAGAAGAATTTCACTATGAGAAAATAGGAATTACAACCTCTCTCGATCTACCAAGGAGAAAACAATGATAATTCTCTCTCGATAAAAAGGAGAAAACAACTCTCAAGAAACTCTCTAAATTCTCTCTAGTACTGGAAGAAAGCTAGAATGCTTTGGGATGGTTTTGAAGCTAAATGAGCTAGGGTATTTATAGTTGAAACTTAAGGACTAATTTTATAAATACCCTAAAGTTTAGTGACTAAAGTTTATAATTTACCCATTTAATTTTCAAACATTATTGCACCTAATTTTGACATTGTTGCACCTAATTTTGACATTGCAATATTAGGTGCCTAACTTGAACCAATTTTCCAAGCTTTGACATTTCAACAACAATAACCTATCACAAGTATACATATAGAAAAAGTAAAGAAATGCAACTTCTTCTTTCACAACTTAGCTGATATAGCTACACAAGATAAAGAAAATGACTATTTAATGCAAATTAGAATAATGATAATTGTAGAATACAAACCGGTTGCCCCAAACATGAAAATACAATACCACCAATGGTAGCAGACATTATGATAACCACCAAATCTGAAATTAACCTGCACAAGGGAGACACAAAATATTACAACATCTTTGGATTTGATAGTTAAACAATTCATTAAATCATAATCTCAATTGGTATACATGCTATACATAAAATCAAAGCTCAAAGGCAGAAACTAAAGCAAGAGAACAATTGGTTTCAAGGATTATCCATTACGATGAAGATGTGAGGATAAAGGAGATGAAGATGGCAACCTCAAATCAACTTGGAGTACTGGATACTTGGATTTTTTATTGGACATTACAAACACATTATCCTAATATCATATGAAAAAAGGAAAATTAAAATGATTAGATCAAAAATAAAAACAACCTACATAAAACTATACAATCTTCCTATACACATAAGAGAAAAAGAAATAACATCAGTCCCCACCGTTATGTCAATCAAGGTTGTTGTCTCATACGAATCTCCATTTTCCAGGGAGAAAACAACTTGAATCAAGAATGATCCTGTGCCACTGTTTAAAATTTTAAAATTTCGAATAAGTTCTCAAGTGATAAAATAAGAAAATATTATTCTATTCAACAAAATGTTTATTGCCCTAAAAATTTTTATTGACATACTTTGCCTCTCCCGTATCATTTCTCTTCGTCTTCTCATGAGTGATTTTAGCTACAGTCTCCAGGACAGCCTGAAAAACATTGAGGAAATATTTTTAAGACAACAAAATGAAGCATTACACAGAGCAAGTGGATTCCTTAGGAATGAAGTTAATAAAGGGCATATTCTGTATCTATTATGCGTGATATTGACGCCAGACAGAATAGTGATTATCCTGTAGGCTAGCTCCGACAGACGATTCACAAGAGAAAATTCGCCCAAAAACCAGAGAAAAAAAGTCTCTAGGGTTTAATAAAATATTATAAAATCAATAATCGTCAAAAGCAGTCCACAAGCCGGACTGTTATAGCTAAAAAAAATCGTCTTTATTCGAATTTTGCCAAAAATAGCAAAAATCGTATTTATTCGAATTTTGCCAAAAATAGCAAAATCCCGAAAATCACTCTAAATTGAAATTCGAAATAAAATAAGCAATCTCCCAAAAATCCGGTCTAAATCGGATTTAAATTGACTTCCTAATTAACAATCGAAATATTACCATAAATAGTAAAAAATAACTAAATCTAGTGATTCGGAGGGGAAAACGGCAGAATTTGAGGTTGAAAAAAAGGCCACATGGAGCGTAGCTCAATGTGGAGAGCGTGCGCGTCGAAAAGAGCTTTCCGGATTGGGGTCTTATGCGCGATTCTGACACCTGTAGCCAAAGTTATGGCCAAAAGACTGAAACATACTCAAAACGACCCCAATAAGGAACATGTCACAATCAATTCCCGCCTTTGCGCTGATCTGCCAACTCATGGTATCTCAGCGCCATCAACGTGCAATCTGACAGCTCAGCATCATCTGTCTCAGATCCCCCTGCATCAGATATCCAAACCCAAATCCCCCTAAACAACTACATGAACCCCAATGAATAGACATTACATCAACCAGAAATTACAAAGAGAAATATGATCAAAGGAAAAAAAATATACGCATAGAAGACTGAAACTGCAGATGAAACATAATAGTCCAGTTATTGCAGAATCAAAACATGAAAAACGATTTCAATGCCACGCACTGGGCTTCAAAAGAGAACCAAACCTACTTGCTGATCTGCTACACTAGTATTGAAACTGCTTGCATCAGATCCTAACAAAAACCAGAAAAGCAAATAGAATATCAGCTGCAAAGCATTTGAAGAAGCTATCCACTCCACTCAATCAATTAACTAAAAAACCTTACAAGTTTCAAAAGACTGAGAACTAGGGGACATTATAGAAAGAAGCATGTATAAAAGGAAATGGATCCTCTACTAAGCTTAATTTCGAATTCGAAGCAATACAAGTCAAAGCTGCAAAAGTTTAAACTATGCTGAACATTTCTTTTCATCCTTATACATCATGAATTTTATTTTAATTTCTATGTTCTTGCATCAATATTTTAACTTGTAAATTTTGTAAGATGATAGACTAGCGCTTTTACTAGTATCTTACTTCAAATTGCGCCTGCATTATTTGGTGAAATCACAAGAACCACAGCACAAAATCAAGATCCAATTGTATGTTCTTTTCTCTTCCGTACTTTTCCTTGGCATATAGAAGGACTAACTTGTAGACACCCGTTTTTGTCCGGGTCTTAAAAAACTATTATTATTATTATTATCATTATTATTAATAATTATTTTGTTTACATATTTTGCAGGCCCAACTCAAAGCCCAACAAACCCAAATTACATCAGGCTTGGCTCAGCAGCCCACTACAATGAACACCAGGACCCGACCCGAACCGACCTAAGGTCAGTTGACCCAAACCAGAAGCCTAAGTTTGGGTTAACCCGGCCCAATACCAGGGCCAAACAACTGACCCATAAACCTAGCTAGGGTTTCCCTTCATTCCCAGCGTCGCACCATAAGAGACTGTCTGATCTGGACCCATCTAACGGTCCAGATCAATGGCCATTAGGGTTTTTACCCTAGCTCCAATGTTAGCAGTCGTCACCGTCAGACTCTTCAGCTCCTACCGACACGTGAGCCGTCGTCGAATATCCCACCGCTTGATGTTGTCATCAACAGTGACCGATTTATGTACCAAATCATATCAACAGTCAAGAAAAATAAATAAATGGAAACAGATCCAAAGAAATCCCGAGGAAATTGGGTTCTGTCAAGCAACAGGTATAGGGTATTCATACCCTATTCCCTCGGGAAAAACAAAGAGCCATGACCATAAAAGAAAAAGAGATTACAGAATCCAAAAAAGAAAAAAAATCAGGGAGAGAAAAAGGAAGAAAAAGAAGAAAAAACACGAGAACAAGAGGGAAAAAGGAAAGGACAAGAGAGAACGAAAGGAAGCTAAGGGAAAACTTACCTTTGATTTTGTATTTGAGACCTCATCGGAGTTCAAAGAACCCTTCACAGAAGGTAAAAATCCTTCTTATTTTCCTAGATCTAGAGTTTTAAGGTATGGGGTTTTGATTTTTTGGATAATGGAAGGGGTTGTTTTATAAGAGAAAGAGAGATAAGAAGAAAAATTATGTATTTTTTACTTCTTTTGGTCCCTGTGGCCACCGATCTACGGTGGCCAGGGAGTTGGGCTTCCATCCTCGGTGAAGGACTAAGGGAGAGAGGCAGAGGAGAGGAGAGAAACGAGAGCTTCGGGATCTCTAATTTATGAGGAAATAGATGGAAATGAGAAAATGAGGGGTCTCACCAAACTTAAGCCTTTGAGTTACCCTTATATCTTAAATCCTAAACAACACCGGTTAGGGAGGGGTCTATTGTAATTTCAGCACATGGGTAAATTACGCTATGGGGCCTTTGTTTTTTTGTAATCTTTTTTTTCAGTCATTGGTTGTAATTTATGTGCATCCGATTTTATTCCCTATGTTTGTAAAGTTTGTATCTTGGTCACTTGGCTGTTTGTTGTTAATATTCTGTAAATTTAGACATTGTACTATGCATTTATAAAACTTTTATTTTGATCACTGCTTATGTATTTTGGGTTAAATATTGAATATGACATGTATGTTTTACTTTCATTATATTTGTAACATCCTCAATACCGGGTTAGTGACCAAAGTGTGAAATTTAAAAATTTAGTGACCAGATTAAATAAATTGAAAAGTTTAGGAATCAATTGAAAGATGTTGGTGTAGGATGATTTAGTAAATTAAGGAGAATGAAAGGGGCAAAAAAGTCATTGAACAAAGGATGTAATAAAATATTATTTGGGGTTATTTTATAACCCATGTAAAGCATGTGTAGGAAACAAATGTTTCAGATAACTCTACTTCCTTATTTCTTCATATTCTTCTTCTCCCAACCGTGAAGCACCCAAGCCAAGGTTAGTTGGATTTCTTCTGGTTAATCCTTAAAATTTAAGTATGGTTTTGGTTAAGGAAAACTTAGGAAACATGATGGAGATGAAAAAGATCATAGAAACTCAAAGATTTGTAAGTTATGAAAGATTAAAGATAAGAAGTGAATAAGTGAAATTTTGAACAATGATGTATAAATGAATTTAGAAGTTGAATTTGACTTGTCATATGTGTGAATAAGAAGTTATAAGTGTTAGAAATAAGTTTGGATTACATGAAAAATTTAGTAAGATTCTTGGTTTGAAGAATTTGGATGAGATATGAGAGATAATAAGGTGTTGGAATGATAAAAGTTAGTTAAAATGGTTGTAGTTGAGTTTGGTGGTATGAAAAGAGTTTTATATGAGGAAATCTAATGAAAAGTTGTGGAATTTTCGGGTGAAACCAATTTATTATTGACAGGTGCATCGGTACTCAGGTGCATCGATACACTATGAATGAGTACCGATGCACTAAGACCAATTTTGAAGGTTCATCGATACACACTGGCAGGCATCGATGCATGAAAATTTCGAAGCTATTTTGGGAACCGATGCACTCATAGTGCATCGGTACACTCCTAAAGGAAAAGTTGAAGTTTAGTTCATTAAATTAACCTAAGTTATTAATACCAAGTTATAAGTGTTGAAAACATTTTTATGTTTCAATATAACAAATTAAGTTTCAATATAACAAATTAAGTTTAAATGAATTTTAAGATTTTACAAATGATTTTATAAGTATATTCGACACAATTATTCGAATATCAAATCAATTACTCCAAGTCTTTTCAAGATCAAATTCAAACCTTACTAAATGTGTAAAATTGTGTTTTATACTTGATATATTTTTGAAACAATTTTCACAAAGTATTTTGAACCAAAATCAAGCCTAAAATTAAATTTTCAGAGTGATGCACCAATGCACCAATCCATGCATCGATGCACCATGAATTAAATTAAACATCGAATGCATTTCATGCATTGATGCACATACCATGCATTGATGCACTGAGGATTTTATGAAAACATCGAATGCATTTGATGCATCGATGCACTCTGGCTATTTTGAAACATCGAATGCACTTGATGCATCAATGCACTCTTAGTGCACCGATGCACTAAGGGTCTAATGGTCAAAATATTTGAATTTTACACTAATGCATCGATGCACCATGGATATGCATCGATGCACTGACGCTCCCAACTGCTTTAATTAATTGTTTTCACACTTAAACGACTCTATTGACTCCACTAAGCATCCCAAACATTCAGAATCATTTGAAGGTGTATTTAAACAAGCTTAGAAGCCATTGATCAATAACAAGAAACAACAATCAACAAGAATCAAGAGAGAATCAAAGAGAAAGCATCAAACCTCAAGTTTGAGCATTTTCAAGCCTATTTCATTCAATATTCATTTTTGCTTTCAAGAACACTTATTATGTTCAATTGTATTATTCTTGAGTGTTCTTCCTTTGTTCTAGAATTATGCAAACATCTTGCCTTGTGATGATTTTCTTGTAAGTTTGCAAAATTTGTATTGTTCTCTTTGGGAGAGAGTGTTCTCAAAAATTTGGGGTATAATTCTTGAGGGATTTGTAAGGTTACTCTTTGTCCTCAAAAGAAAGACAAATTAGTGAATTTGTGGAAAATCCTTAGTGTGGATAGCTAAGGTAGTGGACGTAGACTTTGGTTGAGAAAGTCGAACCACTCTAAATCACTGTGCAAATCTTTTCAATTTTCTACAAAAGCTTCCACCAAAATTTTAATTGCCAATTCACCCCCTCTTGGTCGATTCCATCGATTGATTAACTCAACAATAAGGTTTAGGCTTCTGATAATCGTTTCAGAATTTATGTTTATGTAGATATCGAGCCTAAACGAGTTCCGGAACAAGGGACAAGTAAGATTGATTGAGGGAAAGGCAAGGAGATATAGGTGAGTGCATACTATAAGTATAGTACAATGGAATAAGACTTGTGATAAGTCTAATTCCTATGTTGATTTTCATAGTACAATAGTTATGAACATGCATACATGATAATTATTATGATACATGCATAAGATATAGATGTTCATATGATTTGATAAATGATATATGTGAATAGATTCAAATACACATGTGATATAATATGTGATATGAGAATATGACATGAGATAAACGATATGAGCTATGTGATTACAAGAGAAATGACATGAGTACGTGAACATATGAAACATAAGAATAATGCCCATGGTATATGATATGAGCGCTATAGGTATAGTTGGCATGCCAAGAGTTGGGGGTTCTACGTGGTCTTTCGGGACAAATACAGAGGTCCTTCGAGACAAATACATAGGTCATTCGGGACAAATTTCACATGCCTCTAGTGGGACCCCATACGAGCTGTGGTGACAACAATAGTGCACAACATCAATGTACTCGAATACCTTGAGTTCTCAGTAATGTGCATGGACCTATAAAATGTTATCAAATGTAATTGCCTTATTATTGTTATATGTTACCATGTTATTATCGTTTACATTGAATTACATGTGACATGATTGAATGGATAGATTGCATGATTGAAGTGATTTACACATAGGTACTGAGAAGTAGGATGATCAAAGTTAAGTTCAAAGGAACAACATATCTCCGCTCAAAGATCAGATCAGAAGTAAATTATACAGTATGTTTTGTTATGTTATAAATAGGTTGGCATGTAAACAAAGTCGGTAAATTAAGTATTTATACTCTGATTGAGTTTTTTAACGTTTTAAACATATATTATATAAATGGTAACTTTATACTGATGAAAGCTTAAACTTTTATGAGTTTTATATAAGTTGAGCTGAAGTTACTGTAGCAGTGCATCAGTACACTCTAGCAGTGCATCGATACACTCTAGCAGTGCATCGATACACAATTTATATTCGATGTTTTTATGCATCGGTACACTGTAGCAGTGCATCGATACACTGTAGCACTGTTCACCGTACTATTCATTACTGTTCACGGTATTATTTATATAGTCTTATACTAATCATACAACATAGTACTATTCATAAAAACATTTTTGCCTTAAATATGTTATAATGAAACATAATTCAACGGTATCTTATCGTATTTTCTTAATATAAGTCCAAATGTTTTGTTGTCTTATAAGAATATTGTTTTAAAAAGTCAATGTGACATCTCGAACTCGTATCCGGGTTGGGTACGGGTTGAGGGTGTTACAATATTTTAGTCCTTTATTTACTATATAAAAATGGTGATTTACCTATTTGGTCCATAATGTTTTCCTAATGTATTTTTAGTCACTGTTTAGATTTAGTTTGGGTTATTTGCTTGCTTGGACCCTGTGGTTTTATTTAGGTTTTGTTTAGATCCTTTGTTAACTATATTTAGCATTTTAATCATTGTGTTGAGTTTTACTTTATTTTTATTTCATCTGGGTTTTTATGAATTAATATTATGGCATATTCGTATAAATATATATTACTTAATACATAGTATTATTTATAATAAATTTTAATTAATTTATGTTATTGTTGCTAAACTTAGTTGTGTTTAATTCGTTTGATATTCACAATTTCCTTAATATATATACATACTCGAAGTGATTTTTAAAAATATTATTCATAGAGCGGGCGTGGAAAGTACCATTTGATCGAAGTGATGCAATCCTATACGACGTTCTAATGGAATATGAGTTTGAAAACACGAATACTTTTATATGAGTTTATTGTAATCATTATACTTTTATTTTATTTTATTTCTTTATTATTTTTTTATTTTATTTTATAATGTTGAATGCTTTAATTTTATTTTCATTTTGTTAAATTTAAATGTTAGTATTAATGATGTATATTCAAGTCAAATAAATCATGATTTTTATTTTATGCCAATTTTCGATATCATTTTTTTTAGTAATTCGAAGATGGAATGTTCTTTACGGATAAGAAATATGCGAGATAGCTTTCTCGATGGAGGATTGCAAATCTCGGGATTTCTTATCAAGTTAAATGTTTTTCTTTTAATTTAATTAATATTCAATAAATAGACTGTAATTTCACTTTAGATTCGAATTTTAATTTCCACTACTGCGACAATATATAAGCGATTAAGTACTAATTTTGGGTGCTGTGGGAGTGCTAATCCTTCCCCACACGTAATCAACTCCCGAATCCGTTAAAATGAATCTTTGATAACGCATACCAATTTTTGTCTTAAAAAGTAAATTTTCTTAAAATTATTTTAAAAGACGTTTTTAGGTATTAGACGTACCTAACCCAAAAATTGATGACGAATCCTTTCAATTTAATACAAATTAATTAAAAATCCGTCAATTTTTCAAATCAAAGTCTTAATTTTTTTTTAAGATAATATTTAATTGCTTTTTAAAAAAATGGTTTAGGAGTATAAATTATAACCAGTAAAAATGTTAACCTTGAGGGCGATCATTTTCTGAGAAATCTTTCTCAAGAACCCAATCGAACATTTTAGCAATACTCCCTTCCCCGGCACCCGGCTACGACTGATTCACTACGTTGCCGTAAAACATTTCCCGGATCTCCTTATCGGATCTCGCCGCAACGCGTGTCATCAAGTATAATAGTATCAGCACCAAACGATAAACGCATCCTAACACTCTATACCTCGCTGTCAAAATCGTCATCGATTCCGTCAATCTCCTTCTCTCTCTCTATTTTTTTTTAAATCTTCTCAAACAGAATTTGCAAACTCAAAAGTGAACAAAATAAAGAATCGATGCATGAGTTTGAACTTCGAAATCAGGATGGAAGAGAAGAAGTTGTATTATGGAAGCTGCTGAGTTGGGTAACTGGTACTTAACTGTCAAGGCGGGATCATACTTCATTTGCGTGAATTACAAATAATAACAAAATTGCTTTAGGGGCTGAAACAGAATATATATTGGTTGGCGCGTTACGTCGTTAGGTACGGGGCATAACCGCCATTGTGCGCACATTCAGGGACAAGGCAGAAAGAAAATCAAACTTGCGGGGACTAAAGTTAAACTAAAATTTTTAAGAGGTTAAATTATTATTTTAATATCCAATTACGTTGCTCATCAGAAAAATAATATCCTCTTGCTAGGGATAATCACGTGTTCTTTGAGTTTCATGCGGGTGAATGTTGCATTCGTGATGAGGCATCAGGCGAAGTTATACTACGAGGCAATCAGCAAGGTGGCCTTTATACATTTGCGTTGGATAATAATAGTTTGAGTACTTGTAACAAACCAAAGGTGTTTTTCGGTGAATGTCTCTTGTAATACACTTGATCTGTGGCATAGGAGGTTAGGACACCCAGCTCTTCCTATTTTAAAGACTGTTTGTAAGACAATTGTTGTTGATATTTCGAATAATGCAAATCACACGTGTGTTGCTTGTTGTTTGGGTAAAAGTCACAAGTTACCCTTTATTGAGTCCGATACTATATATGATGTTCCATTCCAGCTTGTTTTCTCTGATCTCTGGGGCCCTGCACCTGAGCCCTCGACTGGAAATAGATATTACATTTCGTTTGTAGATGCGTGTACAAAATACACATGGGTTTATTTTTTGAAGGATAAGTCACAGGCACTTGTAGCTTTTCAAATGTTCCAAAGGATGGTTAAGACACAATTCTCTCTACCTATAAAAGCTGTGCAAAGTGACTGGGGAGGGGAGTACAGAAACTGGGCGAATGAATTAAACCAAGAAGGAGTTTTACATAGGGTCATGTGTCCTCACACGTCTGAGCAAAATTGGGTTGTAGAACGTAAGCATCGACACTTAGTAGAGATGGCGCTTGTGTTGTTAGCTCAAGCCTCCCTTCCAGTACATTTTTGGTCATATGCAGTAGCTACTGCAGCTCATCTTGTGAACAGATTGCCCACCAAAGTGCTCGACAACGTGTCACCATTCGAGAAGCTATTCGATAGGAAACCAGACTATAAATTGCTACGTGTGTTCGGTTGTAGGTGTTTCCCACACTTACGAGCGTTTCAACCACATAAGTTGATGCCACGATCCAGAGAATGCACGTTCTTGGGTTATAGCACTCAACATCGAGGTTTTTAGTGCATTGACCCCAATGGTCGAGTGTTTATTAGCAGGCATGTTAAATTTGATGAGTTTGTTTTCCATTTTGTAGAAAAAAAGACTACTACATGCTGTCATACTCAGCCTTCATCGAGATCAGCAACTCTTGAGATTGTTGCTAAGCATGACAAGCCATGTCTTCAAGAAAAACTGCCACAGCATGCATCTGCTAGTGACACTTCGCATGTAGATGCTGTGTTGAGTAAAGATAGTCACGACTCCTTGGTGGCGGGGGGCCGATCTGCCCGATAGTGATAATGTTCTCTTGCTGCCTACTGAAGGTTCCTCCTCAAGTGCTGGTTCGAGTAGTAGTGCTGAGAACAATGTCGATGTGCAGCCTGTCAATGAAGCCTCAGTTGAGTCTTCGGTTGATGTTGTTCCTGTTACCAACAATCATCCCATGCTTACACGTAGTAAATGTGGTATATTCAAACCGAAAGTGTTTGTTAGTGAGGTCGGTGGGACAATTCCTGCGGATGTCCATCAGGCTATGCAGTTGAGTAACTGGGCAGCTGCTGTGCAAGATGAACTAGCAGCCTTGCAACGAAATGGTACGTGGTCGTTGGTGACACTGCCAGCTGGACGAACAGCCGTTGCGTGCAAGTGGTTGTTCAAGTTAAAACAGAATCCGAATGGCACTGTCAATCGTTACAAGGCACGCCTTGTTGCAAAGGGTTTTACACAAGTTCCAGGGCAAGATTTTAAAGAGACCTTCAGTCCAGTAGTCAAGTTCCCAACGCTGAATGTTGTGTTGTCCCTTGCTGTCACAAACAGATGGCCCCTAAGGCATGTAGATGTGAACAATGCCTTCTTAAATGGTGATTTGAGTGAGGACATCTTCATGCAACATCCACCTGGATTTGAACGAACTGTTGCAGATGGCACTAAGCTTGTGTGCAAACTTCATAAGGCCCTTTATGGGTTACGCCAAGCACCAAGAAATTGGCACTCTAAGTTGAAGGACAGTCTGTTGCAAATAGGATTTTGGCCATCGAAAGCTGATGTTTCATTGTTCATCACTCGTGCCCATGGTGTATCAACATTCGTGCTTGTTTATGTCGATGACATCCTTGTTACTGGTGAGACTGTTGAGGAAGTTGAACGAGTGGTACAAATGCTTCGTGATAATTTTTCCTTAAAAGACCTTGGAGACCTAAAGTACTTTCTAGGTATTGAAGTTTAGAGATGTGCTGGTTCTCTAATGCTCACTCAAAAAAAATTTGTTTTAGAGTTGCTGGAGAAAACGAATATGTTAAAGGCCACACCAACTGCCACACCTATGACTGCCAATAACAAACTCTGCAGTGGTGAAGGTGAATTATTAGAGAATGCGAGAGAATTTCGAAGTATAGTAGGATCGTTGTTGTATGTTTGCCATACGAGGCCGGATGTAACCTACAGTGTGAGCAAGATAGCTCAATTCATGCATGCACCATGAGAGTGTCATATGCTGGCTGCAAAACGCATATTGCGTTATCTAACTGGAACGATTGAGTTTGGACTTGTGTTTTCACCATCCAAGGAAGCAATGCATGTAAAGGCTTTTGAAGATGCTGACTGGGGTGAATGTGTTGATGATCGACGATCCATGACAGGTTATTGTGTCTTCATTGGCAGCAACATGGTGTCGTGGGCTGCTAAGAAGAAAAAAGTGATTTCTAGATCGACCATGGAAGCTGAATATCGAAGCCTAGCTGATGCAGCAACAGAGGTTACATGGGTGGAAGCACTCCTAACTGATCTAGAAGTAAAACGAAAAGAATGCCCCATTATCTGGTGTGAAAACACCAGTGCAATTGCGTTGAGCGTCAATCCAACTCATCATGCGCAGTCAAAACATGTGGATTTGGATGTTCACTTTGTAAGGGAAAAGATTGCATCCAACCAGTTGTGCGTTAGCTATGTTCCTGCTACACATCAAACTGCTGATGGCCTAACAAAACCATTGGCTAAGACTACATTCACCACTTTTCGTGCGAGAGTTAATGTGATGCTGCTGAAAGGTGAAGAAGAGGAGAAAAAGTAGGGAGAATGTTGAGAGATCATGTGTAAAGAGTGCACATAATCAGTGTGCTCTCGAGTGTATGTGAGCAAAATCTCAGACTGTTAGTCTGTTAGTCAGTTAGGCGTGCTGTTATGCAGACGGTTTTCTTACTCTTGTAGCTATAAAAGCAGCCTTGCTCAGCTGTGTAAAGTGTGAATAATATACTGCAAATTTACATCTTATGTTGAGTTTCTAATATGGCTACTGTGTATTTTGGTAATTTAGAAACTGTTCCTTATACTAAGCGAAAGCATTTCGTGCTCTTGTCTAAAGAAATGGAGAAAAAGTTAGGGGAGTCCCAATTTGAGCAATTGAAATCTGGGTTTAAAGGTAAGATATTGCCTGCAATACACCCTGAAAGCGTTAGAGTTCGACTGATTGCCAAGAATATTATCGATTCATTGCAGAGAGGGTTGAGCCATGATCAGATATGGCGTGATTTGGAGTATGCATCGCCTGAGAGTTCACTCGAACATGATGCAACGGCGACATTGGGTGGGAGGGAAGAAGATTTGGGCATCACTTGGTCTCGTGAAGATGAGATTCTTGATGATAAATGGGTTCAACAAAGCAGGAAGGAAAGTCGAGAGAAAGGGTCGAGCTCGAAGCCGACTACTAATCATTTGGAAGGATTGAATTGGGAAGTTTTGGTCATCAATCAGCCTGATGTTAACGCTATGTGTTTGCCTGGTGGGAAGATTGTGGTCTTCACAGGGTTGCTTGAGCATTTCCGAACTGATTTCGAGATAGCTACCATACTTGGACATGAGGTATACATTGGTTATAAGTTCAGCTTGTTGTTTTTTGCTGGATTTGTCAGTGATATGTTATCATTGTGTTTGTCTGATTATGTTGCACATGCAGTGGCTCGACATATAGCTGAAACAGTAACAAAGAATCTGTGGTTTGCCATTCTGCAATTGATACTCTATCAGTTCATTATGCCTGATCTGGTCAACACAATGTCAGCACTTTTCTTTAGACTCCCCTTCTCTCGGAGGTATATTTATGTTTTCTATATTTGTTCTGTTTATGAGGGGAAAGTAACTTACACAATAACTATACAAATTTCTAACGCATAAAAATAATTAACAACATAATGGCTAATGCATGTGTGGTTGTGTACAGTTTGCGTATGTTATATGTGAATGTAGCATTGTACTTATATGCCATGTTTCTCGAGCTTAGGTGCGAGTGTTGGGTAAGGGTGTATGTTTGACATAGATATATTCGAAATTTTTCATGATTTCCATGTAATTGAGAGATCTTTGGAAGATCATATCCCTATACCTATGTTCAAATATGTGCTAAACTCTGATTCTTTAAGAAAAGTGAAAATTCCGAGAAACGTTTGATGCTAAAATGGAACCCCTAGTCCGCATGAACTTTTCAACTTATTTTTTAAATGTATGGTTCTTCCAATACTTGCATGCTGCATTTGCAATGCCATTAGGCTGTGGATGTACCATAAAAAAGTAACAGAGCAATGCCTTTGTGAATCCATTTAATGGAAACAAATTCTTTTCGGACTTGTTATATTCATGTTTGTTCGAGGAAATCAATTACTATGAAGTAGAATTTGAGAGTTTTACTTGTGATATTTTCTTCATTTTTAACTATTATCTTCATAGGTTGTAAGATCTTATGCTAGCCAGACTCAACTATCGGATTAGATATGTGTGTCACGTGGCTATATACCAAGTTCTTTCCTTAAAATTTTCCTATATTTGGAGGACCATACTTTTTTATATGCCCTTGTTAGACGGATATCCGTATTTGATACTCATACCCGAGTACAAGGTCCTTGTTAAATGCCATTCTCGTGTTCTTCTCAGTGCTTAACCCCTGCTATAATTTTTGACAGGATGGAACTTGAAGCAGATTACATTGGACTGTTGTTGCTCGCATCTGCCGGCTATGATCCTCGGATTGCTCCCAAAGTGTTTGAGAAAGTAGCTAAGGTTGCAAAGGAATCAACACTGCAAGATTATCTCTCGACACATCCTTCTGGAAAGAAAAGAGCTCAGTTGCTGGCTCAAGCTCAAGTAATGGAAGAAGCACTCGTGATTTACCGAGACGTAGTCGCAGGACGTGGTGTTGAGGGCTTTCTTTAGGATCACACCACGCCTCCGATACGCTTCTCTCAGACCACACACCCTGAAAGCTAGACCAGGCCATGGTTTAAGAGCTTAATAACTTCAACTTGTTACCTGCGTTCACCATTTTTCCAATTTTTGCTGGCTTTATTTCTGATCAATGCTTTCATGTCATGCGGATTTGGTTTCTTCTGGGTTAAGTTTGCTTTTGACCATGCCTTCTCCGGCAAGTGTAAATAAAATTGCAAACATGACAATGTTGTTTCTTTAACGAAGATTTATTTGGTAGATGGATCATATGTTTTCTCAAGTAAATTTTTGGGCTAATTAGGTTGTCTGAGTTTTAAGAGAAAATCATGGGCCAATTAGTCAGACGGGCTAAGTTTAAGAGGTAAAGGAGGATGGGTTTTTTGGCCCAATAGGGCAAACGGGTAATTTATTTGGCCCAATAAGACAAATTCGAGAGGAGACGAGCTCTATTATTTTTTTAATATTAAAATTTTAAAATTATTTTACAATTTATTTTTTAAAATAAATATTTTCTTAAAGGATTCATTATCTTGAGGTGATGAGTTCTGTTAAATAAATTAAAATAATAGCCCACGTGAGGCTTATTCATCAGAGACTAATAAAATAATATATCTAATGGAACTAGTGACCTTGATGAGAGGATTTCCTCCTCTCATTTGTCGTATTGGGCCAAATAAATTATTTGTTTGCCCTATTGAGCCAAAAAACCAAGAGGATGAGTATTTGAGTTCTAATTCGAGCTTATAAAATTGAAGTTTTTTTTTTAAAAAGAAGAAGTTGAGTTTGATTTGGGTCGGAGTTTTTAAAATATTAAGATTGAGTTAGATTTTAGAGTAAAAAGTAATTGATCCAAAAATATTAATATAATTGAATTTTATGGACTTAAAGATACATTTATAATATCATTCTATACATAATTTTTTAATTATATTAATATATTATCTAATAAAAAATGAAAATTTATATATATATATATATATATATATATTCAAATATATGAACTTTTACCTTAAGGGTGCGTTTGGATGGGGGTATGTGAGATTACTGGGGGAAATATTTTTTTCGGGAATATGATTCTCCCATTTGGATTGCAAAGATTCCCAACCCCCGATAATAAGCCATTCCCAACAATGGTATTTTGGGGCTTTCACCGGGAATGTGATTCCCTCAATCCTTTAGGTATTGTTACATTCCCGGTATTTTAGTATTTTGGACTAAAATGCCCTTAACATAATTTTTTTCTTCAAAAATATCATTCTTCTTCCGTTGAATAATTTTTTTACGAAGGTTAAATTGAAAATTTATTCTTAAACTATTTTAAATTTACAAAAAAATCCATAATTAGAATTTTATATGAAGTTCAGGGGTTAAAATAAAATTAAACCTATTTATCTTTTAAATTTTATAAAAAAATTATATAAATTTTATGAATTTATTTTTTTTAAATATAAATTAAAAATAATAAAATTATATATTTTCTATAATCTTTTATATAAATATTTTCATTTTAATATTTACAATTCAACTTGTTAAAAAATTGATATATAATAAAGACAAATTAGTAAAATATACATTTCAATAATCTTTTATTCCTTTAACCAAACACTGTAATCTTATATTTCTGCTAAACAAACCAAACACAACAATACAACATTCTCAGTAATATGTTAAGTAATGTTACATTCTAATAATCATATTCTCAGTAAAGCTTGATTTCTGATTGGACGACAGATTAAAAGATGTTATATTTGAGTCGAACTCAAATGGATAAAAATTTCGGCTCTCAACACTAATCAAGACAACGCCTTTAACATGTTTTCACTCTTGTGTGCACTCTCTCTTTGGTAAGCCATTTTCTGAGCTTGGGCAATGGGCATGGTGGAACCGAAATATTCAACGCTCAAAGCCACCATAACACGCTTAATCGAAGAGTTCAAGACTCTGAAACAGCTCAAACAAATACATGCCCAAATCATAACTTCTCCAAAGCTATCCAAAACCCATCAAGATTTTCTCATGACTCGCCTCCTCTTCGCTTCTGCTCTCTCAGAATCCGGCTCTCTTTGCTTTGCGACCAGGGTTTTCAAATTCATAAAGAACCCAACACTCTCCGTATATAACATCATGATTAGAGCTTACGCTTCCAAACCCGGCGACTCAGATAACAGCTACATTTTGAACCTTTACTTCTCTTCAAACAAATGCTTTTCAGTGGCATTTCGCCGGATTGCATTACGTTTCCTTTTATTATAAAGGAATGCGCCAGTAGGCTTGATAGCCGTGGAGGGCGTAGCATTCATGGGGAAGCTGTTAAAGATGGTTTTGTGACGTTTACGTTCAAAATTCGCTGCTAAATTTCTATTCCGAATGTGGGTTTTTAAACAGTGCCAGGAAGTTGTTTGATGAAATGCCGAAGTGGGATGTTGTTTCGTGGAATTCGATGATTATTGGGTACTTGAGAGGTGGGAATCTTGACATGGCATTGGAGCTGTTTAGACGTATGGAGAAGAGGAATATCATCACTTGGAATTCGATGATAACCGGTTTCGTTCAAGGTGTGAGGGGTTAAGAGGCCTTACAATTGTTCCATGAAATGCAGAATTCAAGTAATGATAATGTTAAACCGGATAAAATCACAATGGCGAGTTTACTTTCAGCATGTGCTTACCTTGGTGCAATTGATCATGGGAAATGGATACATGGTTACTTAAGGAGGAGTGGCGTAGAATGCGATGTGGTGGTCGGAACAGCATTGGTTGATATGTATGGTAAATGTGGTAGTGTGGAGAGGGCAAGTGAGGTCTTTAAAGAGATGCCTAAAAGGGATGCCCTGGCATGGACTGCTATGATTTCTGCATTTGCACATCATGGTTATAGTAAGGAGGCTTTCAACACCTTCGAGGAGATGGATGCCATGGGAGTGAAGCCTAACTATGTCACGTTTCTCGGGTTATTGTCAGCTTGTGTTCATTCCGGAATTGTAGAGAAAGGTCGCTGGTGTTTCAATATGATGAAACGTGTTTATTCAATAGAACCGCAACTTCACCACTATGCTTCCATGGTTGGCATCCTCATTCGAGCCGGTCGAAGAGGTAGAAGAGCTTATCAGAAGCATGCGAATGGAACCGGATGTGTTTATTTGGGGGGCATTACTCGGCGGCTGTCAGATTCATGGAAATTTAGAATTAGGAGAAAGGATAGCAAAGTATTTGATCGGTTTGGAACTGATGAACCATGCTTTTTATATCAACTTGTGTGATATATATGCCAAATCTGGTAGATTTGATGACGTGAAGAGAACTAGAGCCTTGATGAAAGCAAGAGGTATAAGAAAAGAAGCAGGTATTAGCCTGATTGAAGTTGATGGGCTCGTTCTCGAGTTCTCGGTTGAAGGATGTGGATGAGATAGTGGTGGTCTTAAATTTATTTAAGAATGAGATGAAGGGTGAAAGTACCCTGCATTACTATCATGGGGATATTGTTGGATTCAGGTAATTGATGACCGTTTATGGATTATTATTGGCTTTCTCCTCTTTTACATGTAAAAGCTTCATATAGCACTGCATTAAACCATAATGCTTTCTTCATATATGTTTTCCAATCTAATCCAACTCCCTAAACATCATCTCATCAATGTTCCATAAAGCATACCTCATCTCATCAGAGATCCAATTGCTTTCTTCATAGAGGCTACCGGCTGATGCAGAGTCCAGGCTGAAACCCTCCGTGTCATAGTCGCTGCTGCCAACGTTGCAAGTTTCGTTTACTATTTGACCATACATACTTGTACTTGTTAGGTCAGTTTGCTCTGGAATGTTGGTGAAATCTGTGGGACAAGTCACAGAACTCGAATTTTCAGAGGAATGGTTTGAGTTGCCTGGGATTCTGATTGTTGACAGCGAAGGGTCTATGCAGTTTAAAAATTCACACGGCACTGAGGTTTGGGAGCTCATCCCCTTCAGAGAAGAAGTCTGTTCCACTTTTTGAAGCAATCCCGGCATCCGTAAACATCGAACCGCTTCGAGGAAGCCCTTGCTGTTGTCGACATTGAGTCGGCGTGCCTGTTTTTGCACCCTTGTTCTCCAATAGTTCTTGATCTCATTGTCTGTTCTTCCCGGAAGATGTTGTGCGATCTTGGACCACCTAGGGAGAAATACAAGGCCATTAGTTAACAAAGGTAAACACCAAAAGGGACATCTACAACGAATCAAAATCACCTGTTTCCCCACTTGGAATGAAGTTCAAGAATTAGGAGCTGCTCTTGTGGAGTCAGGTTTCCACGTTTGATGTCGGGTTTTAAGTAATTCAGCCACCTCAATCTGCAACTTTTACCGGTTCTCTTAAGACCTGCACATTTGGCCAACACATTCCAACGACCTTCTCCATGACGAGTAATGTAATGGGTTAGGAGAGTGTCCTCTTCAAGGGTCCATGGCCCTCTTCTCAGCTCACTGTCCTCTTCCACAAGGATAGGAGGAGGCATAGCCATATGTAAGTGAGATGGGCACACTGAAATCTATACGCTTGGAGGAACTCGAACAAGGTTCAAACTACACCTAGAAGGTACAAAAACTTGAAGAACAAAGCATACACTGCAATTGGTTCATGAACCATTATATAGGTTCAAATTGAAGGAAATGGCTCTGAGCTGGACTAGTCCAAGTGTCTCGCTTATCTCCCCTTTGAACTTATTGCCCTTTGTTGGCTATCAGTCTTGTTCATCTTTTTACAAGGACATACATGATGATAAGACCTCAATGTTGGAGATGGTAGTTATGTCCTTGTAGACTCGATAATTTATGTATTCATTTAGTATTTTTTTATCTACCACAATTAGTTATTTTTTAGGTTTAAGGGATAATTTTATCATCGTAATAAACTCAAATTAGTAATTTTATCCATAATTTTTTATTGTATCAATTTAGTCCTTGACTTCGTTACATTACAATTAATCTTGTTCTTTGACCAACAATATTAGTGTGACATTATAAACTGTACATTAAGCCTCTCATCACATCATTATTCACATATAAATTATCACGTCAACATTATAGACTAGTTTTGTAATGGTCATTGACAGGTTTGTTGATTAAAAAAACAAGATTGATACAATTCAATGAATTTAAAAACTAAATTGTTAGATTAAAAAATATGAACAATAATACTGATATGAATTTAATATAATAATAAAAATACCTCTTAAGCCTTTTTTTTCTAAATACAAATAAAAACATGTTGT